TCAGTGTATTTTATCTAAAGGTAAAGGAAACAGTTTCCCTTGCTCAAAAGCTAGTCAAATCCGACTCTAGGGGGCGGTGCTCGTCTCCGTTTCCAAGCCGAAGAACCAGCATTGTCCGAAGACGTTTCCGTGGTCATGTGGCCGGCATGACTAAATGCCGAGGCGCACGGAGTGCTGTTACCTTCCCACCAAAGTGGTATCTATTTTATCTACTTGCAATTTCTTGCTTTCGAACTGCTACGTTGGCAGGAGCTGGGGCCACAGACGGGAGTTCACTCCGTCACGCGGCACTCGGGTCTCGAACGGCTGAACTACAGACCTTCCAGTCTGCAGTTCAGCATCTTAACCTCCGTGCCACCGTGGCCCCTTATTTTATCTACAGGGGTCTAAAGAGAGAATTTTGATATGTTTACCTGTTCTTTCCCCTTCTTCCTGGATGCTGCGGAAGCAGGTTGCCTGGCCAGCTTTCCAAGACATGACCACATTTCCCCATTTGACTCAGTTGCCAAATGAGGGCTGTTGGGTTTTTTTCCATATAATATAAAAAACACTTAAAAGGAATTCTGTCGTGATCAGAATGGCTCAGACTAGAGAATCCCTCCTCTTCAGGATCACTGACTTTGGGTTGGGGAATTCCTGGAGTGGAGCCTGGGGAGGGGAGAGTTTGGGGGAGGGAGGGACCTCTGCCCACTCTGCAAAACAGCCATTTTCTCCAGGGAAACTGATCTCTGTAGTCTGGAGAGCAGATGTAGTTTTGGGAGAACTCCAGGCCTCACCTGGAGGCTGGCAACCATACGCCGAGTCATTCCGATCATGAAGAAAATGAGTGGGCACCGGGGGGGGGGCGGACATGGGCGGACTTTTAAAAGACTTTCCTGTCCCTTCCCCCTCCCTCGGTTTTGCAGCAAGTACCTGGTCAGTGGGCCCCCACCTTGAGTGGGGGCCAGTGTTCCCTCCAAGCTGAGTTAGTGCGAGCTAGCTCACAGTTTTTTAGCCTCTGGCTCACAGGTTTTTGTCTTCGCTCAAGAAGGATGGCTCCAGAGCAAACTAATTGATGCAGTAGCCAAGTCACTCGCTCACAACTTTAATGTCGGTAGCTCACAAAGTCGAATTTTTGCTCACAAGACTCCACAGCTTAGAGGGAGCATTGGCGGGGGCCTCACCTAGAGAGACCCCACCCTTTTGCAGATGTGTGCCTTCTAAAAGTTGGCAACCAGCTACTGGGGGGGGGGGGGGGGGGCAGGAACACCTGATTCTTCCTTCTACACTGGTATTAAAGGCACGGGGACCTCTAATCTTCTCAAAGGTCCTTGTGCCTTTAATAATATGAGCCCTGGGGTCAAAGCATGAATACAGGGATGATGAACAGTGTGGCTAGAGTGCTGGACTAGGATGTGGGAGAACCATCCCCTCCCCTGCAGATTCCCCATCCTGCCATGGAAGCTCCCTGGGTGACTTTGGGCCAGCCTAACCTTACTTCACAGGGTACTTTGCAAGGCTCTTGTTTTACGTTTGACCTCCTATCTGACCACCTCCTGGATACCTCCCCCCCCCCCTTCAGTGCTCTGCCGGGTCCTTTCCTGCCTTGAAACTCATTCCATGCATATACATTAGGACATATCTTTTGCAAAGTATTTAATTAATTTTTTGGCTTATTGATTTCTAAAGCAAATATCCTGTTTGCATCCCATCCTGTGGGCTGCCCAGCTCCCAAGTGTTGGCCTTTATTATACAGGACACATCATGTTTTGACCGAAAGTGTCACTGTTTCAGCACTTTCCATCATCAAGTGGCTATTTTATTTAATTTTTTTTATACCTCTCTCTTCAGACTCAGGGCAGCTAATAAAGCAGTAAAAAGTTACCAGGACACAAAAGCATCTTAAGTGTCCAACCAAATGTTAAAAGCAATCCACAGTTCTATACAATCCACAAAGAAAAACACAGAATTAAAAATAAGTTAATGTATAGTAAAAAAAAAATGTGGCCACATCTGCCAAAGCCGTTTACCCTGCACCAAAAGCCCTCCAGAATAAAGCAATGCAGTAGCACCTTAAAGACTAAAAACATTTATTCCAGGATGAGCTTTCATGAGTCAAAGCTCACCTCTTCAGATGCAATGGAAAGGAAGAAAATCATTTTCCTCATAACTATCCAGAAAATTACAGAAGTGAGTAAATGTTGTTAGTTGTTAAGGTGCCACTGAACTCAATTTACCCTTCTGGAATTACTTCTGGGATTTTACAGATTTCCTGAAGACAGCAAATGAAGGCCCCCTCTGCACCTAATCTGCTGGGTAGTTCCAGAGGGGCTTTATTTAATCTATTAATTTGGAAAATTTCTTCTTCTTTTTTTTGTAAAAATTTTATTCAGGACATAAACATTCATATTCAACTTTACATTTTCCATATTATTCTCATCATAATCAACCTTAATTTTTTTAGCTTAAACCCTGTTACATCCTACCCCCTCCCTTTCCCCCTCCCTTATACATGGCTTCCCACAGTGTTCCGACCTCCTGCTCAATATTTTCTTCTATTTTTATATATTTCATTCTTAAAATCACTAGGTAACTTTTATTTCAATTCTATTCTTAATAAGTATTAAAGCAAAGCAAATTGTCCTTTATTTCCCAATATTTTTCTAAATATTCTTTTAAATCTCTCCAGTCATTATAGAATCCTTCTGCTTCCCTATTATCTAATTTCCTTGTCATTTTGTCCATTTCAACTGCAAACAATAATTTCTTTATCCAGTCTTCAATCTTCGGGACTTCTTCTTGTTTCCAACACTGCACATATGTAATTCTAGCTGTTGTCACCATATACCACATCAAGGTTCTTTTATGCACATTAATTTTCTCCAAATTCAGTCCCAAAAGTAAAAGTTCTGGTTCTTTTTTAAATGTAGATTTTACAATCTTTTCCATCTCCAAATGAATCTGAGTCCAATAACTTTTTGCTTCCTCACAAGTCCACCACATATGGTAAAAAGAGCCCTCCCCTTGTTTACATTTCCAACACTTATTTGACATATTAGTATCCATGTTAGCAATTTTTTTCGGTGTCATGTACCACCCGTACATCATCTTATAACAATTTTCTTTGAAATTATTACATGTTGATATTTTCAATGCATGTTTCCATAGGTACTCCCAAGAATCTATTGTCACTTCTGTATTCATGTTTATCGCCCATTTTATCATTTGCTCTTTAACTGTCTCTTCTTCAGTATACCATTTTAACAACACTTTATAGATCTTTGAAATACATTTCTTATCACCCTCAAACCAGGCAACCTCAATCTCATTATTTTTTTCCCTAAACCCAAAAGTTTTCTTATCTTTTTTATGCAATTCATTAATTTGTCTATATTCAAACCACCCATATTTGAACGCTGTTTCTTCTTTATTAATTTGGAAAATTTCTGTGCTGCTCCTCCAGTGAACCTGGAGTGAACCTGCTCAAGGGCACCTTACAGAATAAGACATCACAAAAACATAAAATATCATAAAAGTTATTAAAATCCACCATTCAAACACGGCAGAGCATAAAACAACATAAACCATGAAGCAGCTTAAAAAAATGAGTCTTCAACATTTATCAGTCCAAAAGCAGACTATAAAACGATGTTTAAAAGATCAGTCCCTTAAAATCCCGGGTAAACAGAAATATTTTGGCCTGGCACCTAAAAGAAAGTAGAGCAAATGCCAGGGAAGCTGCCACCCCAGAAAAAGCCCTGCCTCCGATTGCCACCTGTTTTAGCTCTGAAGGTGGGAGCACACAGGGCAAATCCTGCAGTGGAGATCTTAGCTGGTGGGAGGGACAAAAAAGGAGGAAGTGGTCCTTCATGTGCCCTTGGTCCTGAGCAGGGCTCTTTTTGTAGAAAAAGCCCAGCAGGAACTCATTAGCATAATAGGCCACACCCAACAGCAGGAACTCATTTGCATATTGAGCCACACCCCTGACAGCACAGCTCATTAGCACATTAGGCCACACCCACATGTTCCCAGAAGTGTGGTTATCCAGCCACACCCACCTTTTGCTTGTTTTTCTGTTTACCTTGTTTGTTGTCAAAACCCAGGGCCTTTTTTTGTAGCAGGAACTCCTTTGCATGTTAGGCCACACACCCCTAATGTAGTCAATCCTAATGAGTTTCTGCTGTTGGGTGTGGCCTATTATGCTAATGAGTTCCTGCTGGGCGTGGCAAACATGGGACCTAGCCGGAACTCTGTTCCTATGCGTTCCTGTCCAAAAATAGCCCTGGTTTAGCCAAAGTGTCCTCAGTAGAATTGTCCTTAGGCAAAGAGCAGTCATAGGAAGACCTCTGAAGAAGGCCTATGCAGGCCGAAATGCGTCAGGTCAAGTCCATTAGCCCTTGTGTGTCCTGAGCCATTTAGGTCTTCAAAGGTAAAAAGCAGCACTTTGAATACTGCCTGGCAGGCCCGTAGCTACTGTGGGGCCCGCCCCCCGCTATTTTTACGGGGCCCTCTCCCTGGGTGGGGTGGTCTTACCTACCACCAGGAGCCCACTCAGGAGGGGCAGCAGGAGCCACAGGCCCCTCACCAAGCCCCTCCTGCTGCCCTCGCCGAGGCGGGAGAAGTCCAGTGTGGAGGGAGGTCCAGGCAGCTATGGGAGGAACAGCGGGGGCCAGGCAGAGGCACTGGAGTTGGACAGAGCCCGGTCCTTCCCCTTCAGAGGGGGGTGGAAGAGGATGGGGCTGAGGCAGCCAATGAGAAAAGGCCCCGGGTGCTGACCTGGCTGTTGCCGGGTAGAAGAGCCCTGGAACGCTGCCGGAGCGACAGAGAGGTGGAGAGGAGAAAATCAATCCAACTCCAGCAGCTTCTCATTTTTTGTGCTGCTCCTTAGACTCCCCCCCACACTCCAAGTCCCAGCCAGGGGTTCATGATAACTACATTCCCCCCCTCCATTTAGATGGAACATCCTTGTGCCAAAGAAGGCCCCCTGGAAACACCCCCAGCAGGACAACGAGGGGACAAACAGAAAGAGGAGGGGAGCCCGAGTCCCCGCCAGTGTCGTGTAGCTTCTTGATGATGTCTTCGAATGAGGCATCGGCCAGCTTCATGGGGGAGAGCAGGTTACGGGCCAGTTCCACTGTGGCGGGACCACAGGAGCCAGTGAGGAGACCCTTCTTACACTCGGTGGTTACTTTGTAGAATACTAGGATGGACTTGAGTCCCTCAACCCAGGCTTCCCAGTGCTGTGGACAGGATGGGTTGAACGGAGGGACAAGTCCCGCTCCCAGAGCAACGGCCATCATGCTGTATGGAAGAGGAGGTGATGCGGAGGTGAAGAAGGCGTGTGGGTCACTTGGTCCTTGGCGCTCATCGGCGGGAGCCACGATCTTCGTCTGGTACCATCTTCTTTAGAGGCCTCCACGGCCCGGCTTGCTCAGCGGGATCCCACCTTTGTTGCCATTGTTCTGTAGTGGGTTCAATGCATTGAATGATCAGGAAACAGCGTGATTCTGTTTACAGAAACTGTATAACTTTCTATTAAAGGATTTCCTACAAGATGAAAATGTTAAAACTGTAATGATCACTTGGATAAAAGATATAGGGGAAATTGATGAAGAACAGTGGTTGAGTATGTGGAAATCTGTTAAATATATGAGAGCGGTAGCTTACAAAGAGAATGTTTATAAAATGTTCCACAGATGGCACTGGGCACCCGACAAACTGACCAAATGCTACAAGGGGTACTCAAACAAATGTTGGAAATGTAAAGTGTCTAAAGGAACCTTCTACCACATGTGGTGGGAGTGCAACAAAACACAAACATTTTGGAAACTAGTAAGGGAGGTGCTCCAAGAAAGTTTGGGTTAAAATTTGGCCCTAAAGCCAGAAATATATCTGTTAAATATGATTCCGAAAGGATATGATAAGCAGGATGCATTTATTATTACCTATGTTATAACTGCAGCTAGATTGTTAATAGCCCGACAATGGAAACTAGATACTTTACCAACAAGGGAAGACCTGTTAAATAAAATATTAGAATTAGCCAGAATGGACGATTTAAGTCTAAAGATACAAAACAAAAATGAGACGGTACATAAAAAAAGATGGGACAGAATATATAAATGGATAGAAGACCAGATAGAACTGTAATATAAAAGTTATATTTAGAATAGGTAAAAGAAACAGAAATACAAGACCATCAACTGGTAATGTAAAAATTAAAGGAAAATGACTCTGACATGTAATGTAACACAAATGGATGTAAATTAACTGTGTACTACTTTTTAAATAAAATAATAAAACTTTAAACCAAAAAAAAAAGGAAACAGCGTGATTCTCAGCACGTTTACTAGTACACAACATAACACAGAATACCGGCCTACACGGCCAACTATATACAGTCCCATGGACCACCCACAGGTCCCATTGGAGGGCTTAACCTTCCCGCCAAGGTCCCTATTTGTGACCGCTTGAGGTTTCAGGATCCTAGTCCCTATTGTCTACTGAGAGCCAAGCTCTAGAATGAGTCACTGGTGCCTAGTGGCGGTCAGCAGACATAACAGACTCTAATCTAGGAGAACTGGGTTTGATTCCCCACTCCTCCACAGGCAGCTGCTGGGGTGACCTTGGGTTAGTCATAATGTTCTTTCAGAGCCATTCTCTCAAGGACAGTTCTTGAGAGAACTCTCTCAGTCCCACCTACCTAACAGGGTGTTTGTTGTGGGAAGGGGAAGGAGATTGTAAGCCGCTCTGAGACTCGTTCGGGTAGTGAAGGGCGGGGTTTAAATTTTATTTTTATTTTTTTTAATCAAATCTCCTCCTTCTCTTCTTCTTCTTTCCAAAACAATAGCAAGGTTGATGGCCTCAAATCCCATGGAGAGGGCCAGGAAAATCAACAGTAAATGCACTCCCCCATCACTCACCTGGTGAAGATCATCAGTCCAGGTGACCAAGGCCATTTCCATCCCAAACCCGGGCATGAATCCAGTTTGAAAGAGAATAAGCCTACCATAGAGAAACACAGTAGATAGAGGGGGTAGCAGTATGACAATAATAATTACAATAGAATTACTGCAAAACGTGCAAACATTATAGAATCCAATATAACATGCAGTCAAAATGTAATCAGTCCATTGTTTTAATCTCTTTTCAACAGTGAAGACGTCAAAGATGAAAAGTGAAGACGTCAATGAAGAAAGAATGGACGAACTTCCCCGGAGTTACCACTCGTTTCGAGTTGTCTTTTTCATACATAAGATCTCAGCTCTGCATCCGCATAATCACAAGGCTTCCAAATTGGACTCTTTCTAGTTCCTAAATACTTCAAAGTAGCTCACATCAGGCTCATAGCCAATATATCAAACCCGGGCTGATCATCTTTGACGTCTTCACTGTTGAAAAGAGATTAAAACAATGGACTGATTACATTTTGACTGCATGTTATATTGGACTCTATAATGTTTGCACGTTTTGCAGTAATTCTATTGTAACTACCATAGAGAAAGCCATGACCTAACAATCACCAAAACAGACAATGCTGGGCAAGGGTACTACCAGGAGAACTCTGTGAGTTCTCTGTGAAGCCTGACTTTAAACTGTAGGGTTTAGACTGTAGGATTGCATAGTAAACATATGTGTGCGCCAAATGTCCAGCTTCTCTCTATTATATAAGAACCTGTCAGACGTCAGCATCAGGTCAGAGTCCACGGCTGTCTCCTTTTCCAGAGTCCCTGTAGTAGGACTTACCCTAGGGGCAGAACCTCAGAAAATAGCAAGGGAGGAGAGTTACAGCGCCCACACCCATAATCTCTCCTTAACTGCCTTAGGTAAGGTCTAGCCCGACCTCTCTGGTTCTCCCGGGGTGCACATTTTAAAGGACAGCCTGGGGTGGGACAACTCTGGCCTCACCCGCTCCCTCTTAAGCTTGCCAGTCCCCAGGTCGGGGCAGGGGTTCCCCAGTTTTCAGAGCTTCTCCCCGCCACCAGCCAGCTGGTGGGAGAAATCCCACCCTCAAACAACCACGTCCTGCATGACTTCCCCAATGTGATGATATCACCAGGAAGTGATGATATCATGCAGGGAATGTTGCATCGGAGACTCTCTGGTTTAAGGGCAAACTGTATGGTTTTAAGCCAGTTTTACCATAGAGTTTTGTGCTTAAACCAGAGCATCCCTGCGCAATGTCCCTGGCATAATCCCGTCATTTCCTGGTGACGTCATCACATCAGGAACATCCCGGAATGCCTAACCCCCCTGCCGGAGCAATGAGACGACCTGGCAACCCTATTCCCTCTATCTTGAGGGATGGGCCTATGGGAGTGGCGGGCTCTAGGCCCAATGGGCAGCTGCCTGCCCGGGGTCCCATCTCCCTCACCCCTCCTCCATGGAAAGCCTTATAAGGCTTCTCTTCTGCCCCCTGTTGGCCTAAGGAGGTCACTGCAGCCTTTTCCCTGCCCTGCCCTTTCAAAGAAGCCTTCCTGGCTCCCATCACTTGTGGTGGGTTCTGCTGCTCCTCTGCCACTCTTTTTTTTAAATTTTATTTTTGTTCTTTTATACAGTGCAATACATTTATTACATAATGCAACAAGCAAAAACCAAGGAGTGTAAACTGTTGAAATATGAGAGTTGTATAACCAACATAAATACAGCTTCTAGTAATACCATCACTGTTCCAGCTATTTACTATATTTATCATACAGTGAACCTGGTGGATTGAGCGTACCTTTGTGCAGGGTCTTTAGGACTAGTGTGGTGGAGACCAAACAGTTAGAGAAAATCATGACTTGTGTTGGGGTGATTAGAGGGTAGGGACTAGTTATAGTTTACAAAGACAGCCAACTGTGATATCGATGATTTGTGGGGAGTACCTCGTGTTTCGTCATATAATTTATAACTGGTACCCAACGTTGTATGAACTTTAAGTGTAGTGTGTTGTTTGGTGGTTGGGTTTTCTGGTTTAAGTCTGCTATTTTAGCCATAACGAACTGTTCTCAAAGTTTGTCATGCCACACTGAAAGCGTTGGGGAGTGGGGGATTTCCAGAGGGCGGCTATTGTTAATTTGGCCATTGCCAGAAGTATTGCTGTGTGGTCCCTTGCCTCTGTCTTGATGGAGTCATCCCATTTGTTCAGTAGCATTACTTCTGGAATGCAGAAAATGTGTTGAGAGGTGACTTCGTTGACCCTAAGTCTCACCTCGTTCCAAAATTGACAGATTCTCAGACAATCCCACCAGCAATGAAGGTCCGTACCCGTCTGTTCGCATTTCTTCCAACATGTGGGGGCATTGTTCCTGTTTATTTTGTGCAGTTGATTAGGGGTCATGTACCATCTTGTGAGCAATTTGAAGTTTAGGTCTTCTTCCCACCGGAGTTGATAATTTAATTTTGTTTGATTTTCCGCCATTAATGTTGCTTTGTAAATTTTGGACAGTGTTCCTTTTGGAGAGGATGGATTATTTTTGATGATCTTCTCCAGAGGTGTCAGGTCTCTCTGAAATGTTCCGATACTTGCAAGATGTTCAGTTAGGTTTTTTAGTTGTAAATATTGATACCAATGTGTATGTACACCCAGTTGCTGGTCAAAATATTGTTTATCTTTGATTTTTCCTTTTTGTATCAAATCCATCGGTCGGCTAAAGTCTGCACCTGATCAGATGCTGAAAGCATTGGGGATCATTCCTGGTGTAAACTAAGTTTGGTGTGTATATGTTGATAATTGAGAGATCCCGGGTGGTAGAAGCTTTTTTGGGAGATCCCAAATTTTGATTGATGTTGTTAAAAGCATGTTTTGCTTTACATTCCTTGGCCTAAGGTGTGGTTTCACCCAGAATATCTCTTGTAAGCGAAGTGGGACCAGGTAAGATTCTTCTATCCTCATCCATGATGTTTGGTGATCCTGATACAACATTTGTATCACCTGTGCAAGTATTGTCACATGGTAGTAGCTGCGAATGTGTGGGAAGTCCAGACCGCCCAAGCCGGAAGGCCTGTGTAGTGTGTTTTGACTTACCCTAGATCTTTTTCCTTCCCATAGGAACTGTATAAAAGTGTTTTGCCATGTAAGTAGATCTTTTTTCGGGATAAAGATTGGGAGGGTACGGAAAAGAAAAGGGAATTTTGGCACTATAAAGCTTT